GCATTATGGATGTCCTTAATGGAACAAGTTCACCCAAAAACATCAGTTTACTAAAACTCATGCAATTCAAAACCCATGCTATTTACATTACATAAACATGAAACACAAAAGCAAACATTTTGCAGAATGTACAAGTTGCTTTTTTCTCTATTGAACAAAAAATCATTAGGGATCAGGCCATCCAAGATGTAGATGAGTTTATTTCTTCATCAGAACAAATTTGGAGGAATTTTGCATTACATCACTTGCTCACCAATGGATCCTCTGCAGTGAATGGGTGCCGTCAGAATGAGAGTCCAAACAGCTGATAAAAACATAACAATATTCCATGAGTAATGCACACGACTCAATGAATGTCTTGAGAAGCAAAAAGCTGCATGTTTGCAATAACAGTCCTCTATCCATAATATTGCTAGAAACAAACTCATCTACATTTTGGATGAACTGAGGGTGAGTAGATTTTCATTTTTGGGTCAACTAGCCTATTTCTTTAATACCTGGTGTGATGAAACTGAAAATCTTGGTTTAGAAAAGCATTTAAAGAATGCTAAAAAACACATCCTCTGAAATGCATCAAGACAGTCAATTTGTATTACTTTTGTGGTGAAATATTGAAAAACAAAAACCTTTGTTTGAATATCACTGATACAATAAACGCAAGTGACCATCAGGTGAAAGCATCAAGGCGAGAAGTCCATGCACATGCATGGCTGTATTGTTATATTGTTATGCTAATATCCTTTATCTTTTCCAGTGCTCTAGTGCAGACAACCAGTCCACTATATTAGCAAATTAAAACCACTATCACCTGCAAATCAATATGCAGAAACAGGCAAAGCCAGAGCCTCCAGGGCAAAGAGCATTAAAGTCAATGAGCAGGAGCACAATGGCACGGCTTTGAGACACAGGGGCAAGTGTGTGTGTGTGTGTGTGTGTTTGTGCAGGTCATGTGCTGTTTGGTTAGCATGATTCTAATGTACATTAGCATGTAAATTACATTGCGTTTGCTATTTTCTAATCATAGCAGAGGAATGATAGAGTTGTGCAGTCTAAGCATGTGACATTCATATTCCGACTGACAGAGCTTCTATTTCAGAATGCACTAGAACCTGGGGATTCCATCCCATGATTCCAGCACTTCCATTTGTTGCTATGATACTGGCAAGTTTATGCATAATTAGTTTCTTGTTTGCCCCAAAAGTCACTTCAGTCTAAATTTTAATGTGTCACAGGAATTCTGCACATATATGTGGTGAAGAATTTTAAATATTTGTATGCATATGTGATCTGATGGTATATTGTAAATATTTGTATAATAGATTAATCTATTAATTTGAAAAGGAGTAATAAAAGGTCTTCAGATCATTATGACTGTGATGAGATTCAGTGGTGCTTAACATGCTTTAGATATAATACAGAGGTGCTTAGAGTTCTTACATCCTTAATAAAAGGATCTAATCTGTTTACCAGATGACCACAAATGGTGAAAATCTGTACTGTTTTTATGTGGTTACACATTCACTTCTCACGTCCAGTGTTTATTTGACGCATACAATGATTCCCTGAATCCAAATGTTCACAAACCAGACATGACCTCTTTTTTGTTTGGGTTGTATATGTTGTGAAGATCTTGTTAAAACTATGAAATCAGGCTCATAATGACTACATTAAATCATATCTTTTTGGATAATTACTTGCATGAGAGAGAGAGAGAGAGAGAGAGAGAGAGAGAGAGAGAGAGAGAGAGAGAGAGCAGAACATACTT